AGGTCCCTTCCAGTCTAGGGCATTCTATGATTCTGTGATACCGAACAATGACTTTGGGACTTCTAGCAACACGTAATGTGATCATGTAATGATAGGACAGCAAAAGAGAAGGTTGACTATAAATGTATTATTTTTTTTTTTATTTTAAATCTAAGTCTGTAATTTTATTCTTATTTAGCCATAGTTGCAGCATAAACTGCTTTGTTGAATTTTGTTTAATAACTTCATTTTTTTAAGTGATGAAACAGCACATAGATAATCTTTCATGAAAGAACTGATCTTTCTACTAGCTTTAGGAATGGAAAAGTGTTGCAGCTGAAGAATAAATTTACAACAATAATTTGCAAGAGATAAAATATAAAAAAAGCTAGTGAAGAATACACTTTAAAGATACCTTCCAGCTTCCTGATGCGTGCAGCTCTAATATCAAGAAGATGGACATACTGTTCCAGTTTTAACTCATAGTCTTTCTGTAGACTTTCCATCTTTCGTGTCACTGTATCTACTTCAGTCTGAAAAAAAATTGCATGTAAAATGGACTTTTGAGGCTCACCTGCATTGACATTGCACATGCTTTTTGTTAGAAATTAAAATACAGGTGGATTTGAGGAAAGAAGATTTAGCATACACAAAATCAGCAATTTCAAACTCAGCAATGCAGCAATCAGTTTGAATTTCAGCAAAATCTAGAAACATTATTAAGAAAAACAGATAATGTTCCTAATAGATTATTTTTTAAAAATGATTTTGTTATTTTAAATTTAGATTAACTGAAAAGTCAAAATGTAATCTTCAACAATCCAGCACAGGAAAGTAAAAGCAGAGTGTTGTGAAAAAGGAAGCTTTATATGATAAGTATACTTGCTATTTTTCCTGTGAGGACCTGATAAAAGCTCTGAGATAATGCCCAGAAGGCGTGGTTTCAGGGCTCTGATCAGGGCAAGTTAAAAGGCTAAAGTCACAGTCATTTTTACCTCACACTTTTTAAACAATACTTACAACAACACCAAATCTTCTGTTAGGGTACCTATAAACAACCTGACTTCGTTGCCAAATTTGTACGTCTTAATTACGATAAGTTCCAGGGCCACAAATGTGACAATATTATTATCGGGTTATTTTCCACTGTGAGTATAGTTTAATACCTGGTAATCTTTGTTAATTCTGTGCTGCACAATTAACATATTCCTTGTTTTTTCAAGTTCTTGCACTGTTTCCGCATGTGTTAACTGCAACGCCCGCAGGGAGCGCTCTAGATCTTTACGGTTATCATCTTCTACTTTTTCCAAACACATAAGGTCCCCATTCTGCTGCTGCTTTCGAACCTGAAACAAATTTGAAAAATTACTAGGACAAGTTTTTGCAAAAATACTTGGATGTATTTGTGCCTAGTTAAACGTAATCCCGGGATGCAATTTAGCAACAACAATAAGACAGTAAGCACAATTTCATAAATTTGGAGCATGTGGTAACACAAAAATCACAACGAGGTAGAGCAATAAGTGCCAGGATTGTATTCACTAACGTAATCGCATGATTATCAGGAACCAATTCAAATGTCTGAGGTACTCAGAAGCAATCACTCCCATCGACCCAATCAAAATGCAAAACTCATATAAAAGGCAAGTTCACTGCTTCAGTGAATGTACAAAACCTGAATTATTACTCTCAGGTCTACATTGTATCTGTTAGTAATACTGGGGGTTTATTTTTCATCTAGAGTTTGTTGTTTTTTTCTTTCTTTCTAAAGTTATCATTCCAGAATCATCATTTGCATTTCATTAGCAGAAAAAGATTTTTACAGTAAACTCTTCCTCAAGAAAATAAAACAGAAATCATTGGAACAGTCGAAACTTAATGCAAACTTATTTTTTTCACTGATTTCTTCCCCTTTTCCCCACTTCATTTTCACTTTTGCTATAAACAATAAAATTACAACATATGTGCAAGAAAAAAACAAACCTAGAACATTTCCTGGGTGTTTTGGGGCTTCTGTTCCAATAAACAATGAAAGTTGCTAAGCATAACTGTATCTCATTTTAGAACTTTCATGGTTATAGTATGCTCCAAGAAATTTCAGAATTAATAAACTTACAACATTAAAAAACCCCTGCTTTTTAATAAACATTATAAGAAGAACAAGGTGGCGTGATAAGTCATTTAAGTGAGGAAAAGGAAGATATTCTGAAAGATGCCTCAGAATTTGGTTTAATTCACTTTCAATGTTAGAATGAATTATCTACATAAACCTAGATTTCATTCTTGCAACTTTTTATCTTCCCTTCTGCTTCACTGGAACTGAAAAAAGACAAAAGCACACATGAGCTGGAAGCATTAACTGCTAAACATGCAGTAATAATTCAGCCCTTGAAAATGCCAGACATTGGGTAGAAAACTTGCAGTGATCAACAAAGAGTTTAAAAAAAAATAATCATAGAATGGTTTGGATTGGAAGGGACCATCTTGTTTCAACCCCCCATATGCACTTTCTTTCTGAGTTACCTTTATAAGCACAAGCGCTTCACTGAGTTCTGCCGCATCAATATCATTTTCCTGAAACAGAAATACTTAATGAAAAGGTGTTACCAGATGTGATGGAATATCGCAGAAATACGCTCAGTATAACAAGATGCATTCTCACCAGACATGACATTTTGCTTGATATCATGAATAAACAAACAGTTATATTTCAGTATTCTTTTGCTTTCAAGAAGTATTTGCACTATGCATAAAACATAGAATGGGCTTTCTTGCTCATATTCTAAACAGAAATAGAGTTCACCTTGGTCAAACCATTCATGTGATTTTTCAGTTCATCTAGTTGTTGCTTATGTTCCAGGTAGCATAAACGCAGGTCTTTGTTCTCTTGCATCAGCTTTTCCTTTTGGTCTTAACACCAAAAAAAGAAACAAAATATTCTACTTAATTCAACATAACTATAAAAATTCTAAACTTACTTTTTCATACTATTTTTAAATCAAAAATTAATTTTAAAATGTAGAAAATTTATTTTGTATAGAGGAATCTTTGGTATTAGAAAGAGCGACAAAGTATTGGTGCAGGGAATTAAAAACCTCGAACATTCTTACTTTCATTTAAAAGGAAGTTACAGCATCAAAAAGCTACACTTTGTATATTTCTATATAGAAAGATATGCCCAACTCAGCACAGCTTTCTGTTTTGGACGGAGAGATAGCAAGAGTAGTATAGAGAGGATATAAAATTCTGTCCATCTGAACAATTAAAACACAATTAAACTTATCAGAAGGTTACACAGATTTTACAGAAATACCCACTAATATGGGTAAAATACCCAATAGCTACATCCACTATGATTTCTCAATAAGATGTGAGAAAAAACTTAAGGCTTAGGTGAATAACTTAGTTATAGCAGCATACCATCTTTCACATGGAAAAGTTTTAAAAGTAAGCTTTCTCAAAATCATCGAGGATTCTAAGAAACAAAAGTACTCTCTCCTCCTCCAGTCAAACTCCTTATTCTCTTGATAACAGTGCTTTTTCTCCTTCAGCTTTTCCTATGTGTATCGAAGTCTCAAAAGTCAGATTCTCATACCAGGTACTTAAAATGCCATGAATTTGTATTTTACGGCAGAATTATATAAATGTTAATTGTCAACCTGACATGCCTTTTAATTCTCATTTGCAATGATAGTGAGCTGATTGGTTAAACCATTACATACTTAGCTGAGAATATATCCTACTGCTTTCAGCAAAATAACCCACAACATCTTTTTAATTCTGGATTCTTTCCTGTTGACCCTCAAGGCACGATGCACAACTTAAGTTTAGCTTTTCAGAACAGCTTTTCCATTTAGAGGCTTGAACGCAGCAGAAAACAGGTGGCCAAGATGCTTGTCTCAAGGGCTTTGGAATTTTTCAGAAATTGACATCAGGTTAGTTTTAATTTTGCAGAGTGTATATATTAAATGACATCTTCACTAAATGAACACTCTGTAACACCACTGCTTCTACATGCAGTAGCCTGACTCACACGTGTGTTGGAGCTCCACAAGAGTTGATTTCAATTCAAACACATAATCACCAGCAAAGTTTTACTTCTCTGCAGTTACAAGAAAGATGTAATGCACTTGTGCAATGGAGAAGAAAATATAATAGGAAGCTCTAAGTTTTAAGAATTAGACAGCAATTGTCCCACAGACAATAAAGGGCCCCTTCATGCTGATGCTATATAATCCAAGATCTGAACTGGCAGTTTTTCCAGGGATAAGGAGACAGGATATCTCTCCTCAAGTACTTCTATCTCATTGTCATGAATTTTCTGACAAAAGCAGCAAGTTCAGTCCACTCTTCTAACATGAACCGTAGTGAAAATTTTGCTCACATTTGCAGTTTAGAGAATTTAACGTCGAAGCTGTACATGCTCAATAGAAAGGAAACCAGCTTTTGTTAAAATTGAGGCAATTTCAACAGCTTGTTGAACCAAAATGGGCCAATCTGTCCATAGCACAGCTCAGTCTGCCTTAGCACTGTCCCTGTTGCCTCTCTCAGGCTGTTTCTAGGATCTCTGTCAAAGATAAAAATGCAGGACAGGCTGGGAAAGAGGCAGGAGGAAAGGGAATAATTCCGCAACAGCCCTTCGGGAAATTACAGGAGGGTCCTGCCATTAAGTTTCCTCATATTACTACAACATTTATCATCAGGAGCCACTCAAACTTTCTGTTGGTTGTTTCCACTTATCATGCTATCAGCATCCACTGGAGCATACTTGGATTGGGGTCAGTGCTGCGTGCTGGCTGCTGCTTAGCTTGCTTCCCCTCACTTAACCTGAAAGTTGCAGTTCGCCCACTTCATTCCATTAGACTGTTCACAGAAATACACCTTTTAAAAACAGACATTTGAAGGATGAACTCTAAAAAAAAATATAACCTGTGCTTCAGTTTTGTAAACTTGATGCTGCCACAGTGTATGACAGCATTGAGATAAAAGAAGAAAAGATTGCAAAGTCTCAAAGATTCCCTGAGAAGTTGTCCTACAGCACGGAAAAAATACATATGAAATAACCTGGTTCAGTAGATTAGAAGAAAACAGTATTACTGTAAAGGTGCATAGCTGTAAGTAAACCATACATATCCTGAAAATATTTAAAAAATTCTCAGTTCACGAAGTTGAACAGACAAACAACCATCCTCAATCACCTATATAGGCTTCATGTAACTTCATACAGTAAAAAAAAATTAGAATAGAGGTTTATAATTTGAGGAACTGTCAGATGCGCCTCTTTTCCTGAATAATTTTCATTGTAGGGGAAACAAAGAATAAAGAGTAAATATTAACCCAACAGATGAAGAATGAATGCAGCTGCAGTTAGCAGATCCCCATTCAGCAGGTAACCTGTATTGGGTCAATTTTTCTATTTAATAGGTCGACATAACTTAAACGTATTGTTCAAATGTACATTTTAAAGGCAGCTCTGAAATCACCAGCAGAAACTACACTTCTGTGGGCAATATACCTGAACTCCAACACAGGACAATCTCTCATCCTGAGAAGACAACATTTATTTGAGCAACATACCTCTTTCTATTTGGATCTTGTCAAGGATTTCATTTTTGTCTGCTAAATCAGATTTGATAGCAGTCTCTAGTTTAGCAATTTGCAGTTTCAGTTGCTGTTCCTTTAATTTCCACTGCTGTTCATAGGTCATACTGAAGACACTGCAATAAAACATGTGGCCTATGAAAAAACTTTCTGAAATCAGCTTCAACACAAAATAATAAAGAAAAAAAGCTTTTAGTGGCACAGAGACCACTGTCATCATGTCTTAGGAATTAAGTAAACATATGCTGGTCTGCTGCTGTTGAAACCAAGGCGCCTTTCTCAGGCTGCGGTTAGAAAACATGAAAGAGTTTGTGGGATGAGCAAAGGAACTGGCCTTAATTTAGAGCTCCAAAGTCAGCGGAGTTGGCAGCATGCAACATTTGTGGGACTAGAAAAGGAATTCAGATGCATATCCCAGAGTAATCCACAACTCCAAACCTCGGCAACTGACAACTGACAAAACCATTCTTTCCACATACAAAACCTCTTAGTGCAGAGAACCGGGATCAGCCACCTGATTTTTTTTTTTTGAATCTGTGAAACATGCAGGGCCTGAAGTCAGTTGCGTGTTCAAAGAAATGGTGACCACCAAGTGACAACAGTTTTCTCATACTGTAAAACAACAATTCTGATACTGATTAAGCAGCACATACAGTCTTTCTCCTACTTTAAGAAATAAAAAACAGAGGTGGGCAAAGAAATTAGAATAATTATTTTGCTTGTAACACATTATTTACTTGTGAACTACCAATTTGCGTGCAATAAGAATTGCATGGACACAGAATCACAACTTCTGAAACCACAACAAATGTGTAACTCAGACTGAAACAAAATTAAATACATTAAACAATTTACAGTATAATTCCCAGTTGGCAAAAAGACAAGCAGTACAGTGTGTTTTTAGATAATTTAGACATCAAGTACTACAGTCTTCATATCGTTATTATTACTATTATTATTATTCAATACTTGCCTTCTTATTGAGTGGAAAAATGCCCTTCACCTTAACCAATCACAAATCAGTGTAGTAACTTTTATATTCTGTGAAAAACCAGAAACTGCAGGGTTTTTCTAAACAAGAGCCAGGTTCTCAACTCATTACTTTGGTGAAGCTCAGTTAAAAAAAGTCATTTTTACATCTATAATTGCATTAAAAAACCTCACAGGTAGTTCTTCCAGAGATCTTGTAACAAAAACCTCAATCAAAAAACAGAGAAAAAGAAATATCATAGAGGGAAAAGATGTCACAGCTTTGCAGACCGTACATGCTGACAAAGAGAGATCTGCCTTTTTTGATAGCTATGACTACCTGAAGTGGTTCTGAGTACACAGAAGCGCATTTACCCCTAATACATATGAACCATGACCTTAAGATTAAAGAAAAAAAATATTATAGCATGGAGTCTCTAAAGTATATGGCAAGAGTTTATATTCTTGATCTGCGATCTTCATAAAACCCGTTCTCTCTCTATATTTTCACGCTGTATCTATATCCCCCATTTATACAGGTCCCTAGGCTCATACCATCCTATAGTACGAGAGCGCATCTGTCATAGTGTGCATGAACTTAAGCAATGTTTTTAAGTCCCTCAGTAATTCATACTTGGCTATAATTTTGAAGATAACACGCAGCAACTGCAATGCCCTGAACTCATCATCACTGCCATAACTCTGCACAGGTACAGAAGGGACACAGCAAGCTCTGTAAGGGCTTAGACTCACCACTCTGCCAAGGTCAGTTGGCTCCCGTATGGAAAGACTAAATCTTAGTAAGAAAAGATAACACAATACTCTTGGTTTTCACACTTCTGTAAATATTCCTAGGTTCTAATGACCATGATGCCTACTTAAATGTGCATTCGTTATCTTCAGGTACAATTCCTTCTCATGAAGATGTAGCTAAACATTATTTCAGTTTTTCAAAAGACTGTACTAGCAGAAAAAAACATTAACAGCTATGAGAATAATTCAGAATTTAGATACGTAAACAAAGACCATTTTACAAGACAGGTTTTATCCAAGCCTATATAATGCTAATGTTTATGTCAGTTTGAATTGAGTTCACTTCTGTCGCTTTCCTCCTTCGAATATTAAGATTATTTTTACTTGAATTCATGTGGAATTTCTTTCACATTTACTGTATTTCACTGGAGTTGAAGCCATCTGGGTAACTATAAATGGTCAACCACATCTGGCACCGTTTCCTTTGGAGGGCGTTTAAGCATTGCTAGATTTGCATTACCAGGTCATATGAAAACAATTCCTCCAAATCTTTTATCCAAACGAATTGTTTTCTTGGATACTGACTAAATAATAAGAGTCAACTGACAAATTCAGACGTGTTCTCTGCAAACTTTTCAGATCCAGTTCTGCAGTCGGCTTTGGCAAAATTCCCATCAACTTCAAGAGACTTTCCAACCAAAAAAAAACATTAGCAAGAAATGGGGTTATGCTTCTTTTCCTCCATTAAAAAAAATAAAATATTTATTAATTATCTCGCACCTGTGGACACTGGCCTAGCCACTGCTAGCAACAGGGAAGCTGTGCTAAAGCTGCATTGTTTAAGTGGGCAACAGAAAAAGCTGAAACTACAGTAGTTAGAACAAAGTGATCCAGTTCTTTCTTCGATTTCTTGGTACTTATGCGGTAACATGAAATGCAGAAACATAGGAGCATAGGAAGACAGATTGTTTTAGGTAAAAGGCATATTATAGATTACTGAATAATGAGAGAACCATATTTAAGTTCATCCAGTTATAAGTTATCCCACTGTGATTTAAATGGAACAGAACATTTCAAGCCAAGATTATAAATTCATCTGTTAGTAGGAGTTATTTCTCTGTGTAATGAAAAGATCATAATCAGAAATACTTATACCATCTACAACAACCTACAACAATGAAATTGAGCAAGAGACAACTGATCAACTAAGCCTATACAAGACTCCGAATACTGTCATACAACTGGTACATACGTAAAAAAGATGTTTTAAGCTATTCGTAGCCATAGTTTTTTACTATCATAATTCTAATCTCACCACAGAAAGTACAAAAAGTATAATATTGTAAGAATACTATCAATAACATTTGATATCACTCACATTATGTTTAGTCATTGGTGGTTTTCTTGACACACATCATACTGATAAGTCAAGGAAACATTCCAGAAGAAATAATTCTGATGGAAAAAGACTTCGAGCATCTTACTTTCTGAGGCAATTGCAAGCTCTAGGACATTTGTCTTATTTTCTAGTCCTCTTCACTGTAAAATGCCACATGGTTTCACAATAAAGGAAAAGTTCATTTGAAGGTCATGTGTCGGGTTTTTTTTAATATGCCGTGGCAATTGACTATAAATATTTCTTCTCTGTACCAGAGAATTTCTGAATCATATCTGGCAATGTAGTTTCTTTTCATTGTAAACACTGGTGATACAACTTACTATTTACTATGTATAGGAACCTCTGTAAAAACTCATATGAGTCTATGCAAAAGCTTTCAAGTGAAATGGTAGTTATTACCAAAACAAATTACCAAAACAAACAAATCACCCCTCAAAAATAAACAAAGGAATATATGTTCACCCAGATGTACTATTCTTTTTAAAATAACCCTAAAAATAGGTAGAAGTTCAAATAAAAACTTTTGCATTGATATTCAAAATAAAGTGACTTTACTTACTTTTAATTACATTTCTAAAAAGAATTAATCTACTATTTCAAGAGCATTAGAACAACTGTGGAAGCTGCTACATTTCAACAGAACAGATAAAAAAAGACAGAACACCATAGAAGTTTTCATATGCACTTACTGATATGATGAACTGTAGCCTGAATATATTTACAGGTGTGCACAAACACCCAATATGCACACACACTTTCAAGCACACAATACACAAAGACCCTTATACAGGACAAGATTCAAGTTTTTATATTGAGCAACCATAACTTACCTGTCATACAGCTTGTCATAGTTTTCCTTCAAGAGTTCCTTCTCTTTTTCTAGATCATTTATTCTTTCCTGTAACTAAAGAAGGAAGTTTCAAGCAATGCACAGCATAAAAGGAAATTACAATGAATATGTAAAGATAATTAGTTAATAATTAGCAGCTAATGTCAGGCTTTTACTCATTCTTTTTATATGAGTCTCTTCGAAGCTTCAAAATAACACTGTTTTTCACCCAGACAGTCTCTCTCATTTTGTTTATATGAGGTTGAGACTAACATGTCACAGTCGAAAATTGTCTAATCCTATTCTGCTTCATGCAAAAAACCCCGAAGTCCATAGCATTAAAAAAATTTTTCAATTTGGTAAATATTACTATTAATGGCTCCTGTATAGTAAATACTCTTTTTATTGACATTATATAAACATGTCGTCCTTGCTTTCAAAATACTCACTCAAGCAGGATATGGTTTTAAAAATACTACATGCTTTAACAAGATATACCCTACACAGTAAAGGTTTGGAGGAAATATCTGTCAGGTAAACTTGGCTCATGTAAAATACATTCAGAACAGGTAAACCAGGTGGTAAAAGTAAAGTTAAGTTGCTACAAAACATAAGTAATAACTTCATATACTCTTATTCCTCATATGTTGAAGAGAATGAGGAATAAGACACTTAATTTTTAGGCCTCTGTCTGGGCTGGGCGACTGTTCACGATGACACCAATGTCTGCAAGCCACTAGACAAAGAAATAGAAGGGACTGATTTGAACTGCTGAGTAAGATGTACTATTACACTGTACTGCAATTAAATCAGGTTGAAATCACAGTGAAAAATTAGCAATATGTGATCAATAAATCAAGAAGAATTTTTTCCTTTTAACAAACCACTTGTTTAGTATCAGAATTGACACATAAACCTGTGCTTTAATCTCAAATATTGCCCAAACACTGGTGCAATGATTACGTGGCATGGGGACCAGGTATGGCTCGGGATTCTATGAAATGCAAGCAGGAGCCACAGGGTTTTCTTTTTAGTGGCATTCTCTAGCTCTCTTGAACACAATCTCACCTCCTCCGTCCTTCGGTTTGAAATAGTCACTGACTGCAGTTCTTTTTCAAGCTGAAGGCACTTTAACCGCTCCTCTTTAAGCTGCAGATTCAGTTCATCACCTTTCGCTATTAAAGCATGATGGCTGGTTTTCAAGTTTTTTTGGTTCTATGAAAAGGTAGAAAAGAAAACCCAGAGGAAAAAAGAAAAAGAGAGAAAAAAACCCAAACCACACTTAGTAGAATGTTACAACAGTTACAACACTCCATATATTCAATCAGTGGTCTCTCATGGCAGCTTTTAATAAATATTCTCCATGTGGTCAACAGGAGACACTCTTGAACTAAGTAACTGAAAGCAACTCCCATTACGCGTGGCCAGGAGAAGGTGGCATTCTTGTTGTTCTCATGAACATTAAACCCTCAGTTCAGTCATCATGAAAACAACCAAGAAATACATCTGTTAAGCAATTAAAAGATTTCACTGTGGTTACAGTGGTTAGACATGCTGACCCAAAACACTGCAGTAGCAAGCAAAAACGAACGTTGACCACAGTTATGTTAATCACAGAGCCTGCCGCAGCTCTTTTAACCCTTAATTGTAGATATATAATTGTTTCATAATCCTAATGCACTCAGTTCTATTTCCCTTCTAGCAGTAATTTAAAGAGGACTTCAGATTTCTTCTACATTTTAATTTACTTCAATGGATTATATTAAGGCACATTTAACAAATTTTAATATTAAAACATGAATGGAGGATGCTGATAGAACCTCTGTTTCTGGAATATTAGTTAATATTATACTGCCTACATTCCACAATGCTTTAATAAAGCCTCATTCGTTAAGAATTTCATTGTGAATTACATTTAAAGTATGACTTGAAACAAAACAGCCAAAAGGCCAATCTCCTGATTAATAAATTTTAAGAAAATTTATGTCAAATACATATATGAGTATAGATTATGTTTTATAGTTGTAGACAGGGAAAAAGTTAGCTTCATTTTTTCCATACGTTATTCCTACAAAGTAGTTAAATGGAGGAGCTGAATGTAAATCCTGTACAAATTGTTTAGGTTCACATGCAGATGGAATATCCTAGAAATAAACAGAAACCCCATCACCAACCTCATCTTCAGACTTTCAGATCTCATCTCTCTATAACAAACATACCATGGAGAATAAATATCAGCAGTTAGGCAGATAACGAAGTATATCACTCATCAGTTTTTAACAACAGTCTTCTTCAGTGCTCCTCTTGTTCTGTCCTATATCTATGAACTGTATTTCAATAACTTTAAGAAAATGACACCTTACAAATCATTCTTTTATACTCTTAATTTGTCTCCAAACTTATTACCTTTCTCCTCAAAATCAGAATCCTTACAGTCCTTTGCTCTTCTAAGCAGATTGCACAATTCCTTCATTCAACTGGCTACAATAAAGTTGTTTATCAACAAAATTGTACTGTAAACGTTTGGTAGTGAGCTCAACTTCAATACTATTAGATGGAACAGAATTATAAGACTTATCATTCTGTGGTTTCACTTTATGGGCTTTACATGCAACCTAAACTAAACATTTTGGATTTTACAGTTATTCACATTTAGTAGGCTCATTTCAAATATTCAGATGATTGCAAATGTGAAAACCGTGTATCCATTATCTTGTAAAAAAAAAAAAATGAATAGACATAAACCACAGTCATCCTTTTCAAAAGTGCATATTAGAAATTATGTCTTCAAACATCACTTCGAATCCTAGGTGTTTCCATTCTGCTGCTGCCAAGAAAGAGGCATAAGTACTTGATGTTTGCTGTGAATTTCCCAAAAGTCGCATATAGTTTAAAATGGAACATTTAACTTATCTCTTTCTATTCAAGAACACAAAAAGCCAAGCAAAACTGTTTCCCCTGGAATTTAAGTACTACACAGCTCACTCCATGAAAAATCAGATTGGAGCTACTACCAGATGACCTGCTTTAGCAGAGAAGACATAGGTATTACACCAAAGCGGGGAATGGAAACAAAGCAAATCAAAATGCAGAAGAAGAAAAAAACACAGGAAAAAAAGGAACAGAACAAAACTATTATGGCAAAAGTGTTACCTAACATGCTAAAATAACAAGAAGCAGGCAGCAGTAGGAGTTTACACAGATATCTAGCACTTCCACCTCATCAGGCTAGGATACTTTGCAAAGTTCTGTTGCAGGTAGGATTCTACTTACAGGGACTCTCTTGTTTCTAAGTCATTAGCATACTAACTCTGTACACACATGCAGCTCTCCAAACACATATTGGAAAAACCAGAAGAATGCTGTGTAACTAAAATCTCTGTGAAACTTACCATGCAGTTGCATGTTCTGGTGATACTTTCATAAAATTGCTTTTTTTCTATAGAAAATCTTTTATTTACAATAGCTCTCTAAAATAACTTCCATGAACTTATGAACACAAGCCCTAACGTGAGAACTCTAAACCAGCCAAACCTCCCCAACTTTATAAAATATTAATAAGATGAGGGGGGTCTGGTACCTTTCTTTTGTAAATTGGTACTTTTAAGTCAAAGCAAACTTTTCAAATGATCTGGAATCCCTTTCAATAGCCAGACCACTTGGTTCATTCTCCTCAATTTGCCTGGGATGGCTTTGCAGATAAAACCTTTAAGACTTTCTAAACCCTTCTGATAAAAATATAAATATGAACAATAAAAATTTTAAGACTGAAAAAATCCTATAGATTTGGAGTAGCTTGCACGCAATGTTTAGGTGGTTCATTTTCATGTACTCAGAATCAAGCCCTGCATGTATTTTTTTTCCATTTACGCATGTAAAGTAACGTTACTGACCAAATTGCAATTACCTCTTGAAGCTGGAGAAATTTTTCTTCCATTGCTGAAAGAGCATTGCTCTTCTCAGCCAGCTGTTTATGGACCTTGATCATTTCCAGGTTGTCCCGAACGTTCAACCTTCAAAATTGCATTAAAAAGAAATGCACCATGAGCTTAAAAAATGCAAAATGAATTATCAATTCTTTTTTTCAAGGTTGAAATCCTTTGCAAATTAGCTTTCTACAATACATCTGGGAGAAGATTTAGTGTGTAATACCCACATTTATTTCTTCTTCTATAATCCACATTAGAGAATTTGGGTAAATAAACATTCTACCACACAATGACACAGCAACTTCAATCAAGATATACATCATTGTTAACTGGATTGGACTATATGTGACAGGAAGAGAAAATAATCCTATACCTAAAGAGATTATTTGTTCTCCATTCACTTATCTTCCAACATTCCAAGTATTTGGTGCCAGTAGATTACCATTTAACAGAGCTTCCTCTTAAAGTTTAAACCTATCAAATACTGCTACAAAAAAGTGACCCAGCAATTCATACTGTAACATCTTAAAGCTGGCATTCAAACAAGCTGCAGGTGTGTCTTAACTACATGAACATTCCCCGATATCCACGTAGATGGTTCATTTTGTTACATTTCTAAGATTGAGAATGTTTAATAGAAAATGTTTAAAATAATTCAAAATTTAAATAAGTTTTGATTTAGAATAGTGAAACTAAACCTGTTATTTTTCACAGCTTCCCTAAGCGTGGGAAGGGAAACTGATTCTGAACCGAAATTACGGTAAGATCTTTAGCATTTGGACAGGTTAATTTCTCTCCCAATATTTATTTCGGACATATTGGACAAATTGTCACAACACTACGCTGAAGCAAGAAAAAGGACTACAAAGCTTACACATCTGTAAACCATCTGAGTACATCAAATACTTCCCTTTTCGTCTGTAAAATTTACATCAGATCCAATTGTGTTTTTGCATTGCCCAGTTAATTGTCCTTACACAGAAGATAAACACTCACAAACCCGAGATCTTTCCCAAGAAACTGCCCTAATGCAATGCTAAAACTATCATGTGTCTAAAACATGTTATCTACACAAATTCCAGTTGTGGTGCCCACCGACAGCAGCACTGTCTCATGCTAGCCAGTTAAAAGCTAACGTAATGGCACGTTTTTATTAATCTTGTTCCACACATCAAACAAAAGGCTCCGATGCCTTCAAAGGCTTTCCCTTCTTTTCTAAGCAGAAGTCTTTTTTTTTCTCGGGTTTTTTTTCCCCTCCTTCTTCTTTTTAAGTAGAAAAAGGAGCAGATGATAGTGAAATTTATGATGTACAGATGTAAGCCCCATGGCTCCTGACAATCTACATTAACTATTTTTTCAACAGTGAATGAAACAGCATTTGATTTAAACAGGTTTGGGGTACTCATATTATGAAGCTATTCAAATTCACAAGTGAAAAATTACTTTGTATTTCCATCATTTCAATTCTTACAATTATAGGAGTATTTATCTCATTAAGTTTCTAGCTATAGAAAATGTGTAATTAATTTCTTATTAGCGCATTACATCAATCACAATCTCAGCTCTCATTATAGGGCAACAAAATTATTTCTCTACAGTAGTTCTGTAATATTTTATTTACTTATTTGAAGAAAATCTCTCTCAGAAATGTCCAATGAATCTAGATACATGAAAAGGATCTTGATGTTGAACAAAATCATTTCAGATTTTGTGGGCAAGGCCAAGTTAATCCAGGAAGATTCTGTTGGGAAGATTCGTTTTTCTATAAATGTAGTTACAAACCAGTAAAAGAGAAATTGATTAACTACACAGTTTTCTCCCTGCCAGCTAGTTGATGTACTCCGCTCTCAGAACATCTACCCAGGTATTCTGGTAAATCTTAAAAATAGGAGTTATGTATGCAGATTCAGTATAAAAGTAAATGCTACTTTTCACTTAAACAGGTAATATTTTGCTCACAGAAAACCAAATAACCTATAAGACTAAAGCTGTACTAAGATAGCTCATTCAATATTTCTCCGTTGCCAAGAAAGCCAGAAATTCTGCCACAGAACCTGCAGACATGGAGATAGACCTGGAGCAGAAGTTAAAAAGGAAAAGGACATAATATCTCTTTTCAGGCAGTAAGCTGAATTAGTAAGCGTGCTGATTTAGCTCTAGCACACCTTCTACCACAAGTGCAGAAATAAGGAACATGAATGCTGTCCTCCCATTCTAAACTTCATCTTAATGCTGGAGTAAAACATCTGAAATTGGAAATGAAGTTAGGAGAAAGGGACTCTTTAAAGAGCTAAGAATTATGTTTGGGGGTAACTCCTGAAGTATACTTCAGGCCTCTCATCATCTGGATTAAAAGCATATAGGGTGGGGTCCCAATAACAGGCTGGGGCCCAGCTGTGTGGGAATGGGGGACTGACAGCAACCCCCACCAGAAGGAAATGATTAAAGAAAGGATCTTGACCTGCATTGTACAAATTTCTGCCAGTAAATCCCAGATGGCTAAGCTAATAAATTTGAGGTCTAATTAAACCACATCCCTTGCATCTTGTCTTTGCTTCCATATGAGGACACAAATATAATACTGAGCCTACTCGTCAGAGCCCTGACTAGTGTATCAACTGAACCAGTGGCTCGCAAACTTTCCCCATTCCCAGTCAGAACAAGAAAAATAAGCAAGAAAAAAAAAGCCAGCACCATACTTCTCAGGATCACTCACCCTCTGCCTGGCAAAATAAAAGGTTTCCAGGCCCACGGTTCTCAAGCACGAATGCATCAATGGCCAGACAGATACACAGACCCCCAAGCAGAGAAGAATAGAACATCAACACGCAAGACTTCTCAGTCTACACTGCTTAGGACCTAATAGGATTTCATGGTCATATACACTCTGTTCTCTCCTCTCTTTGTTTACAGGAATTCAGATATAAAAGGGAAAAAAAACACGAACATTTACCTTCTAGTAGCACCTTCATGCTGTAATTGATACAACGCTGCACCAACGGTTCTAGCACCTAAGTTACTAGGATTACTTAAATATTAATATAAAATTCTATACTTTTTTGCCTGGCTAAGGACCTATCTATGAATGAAAAAAGTCACAATCTTTAGGGAAACTGGCTAAATATATACATCAGATAGGGAAATGTAAATATAAGGGTTTTTTTATATATTAGACATGATTTAGAAGGTCTCTCAATACCCCTTAGATAATGCATTGTGACTAACATGTTCCCCATTTTAATCCAGGTCTGCCATGCCTTAATGCAAACACAGAAGTCATGAGTGTATCAGATACGATGCTCCTGTCTGAAATATACACATTTAATAGGTTTAGTTCCAAAACTCATATTGAAACAAAAAATGCCAAAGGCATTAAAAAGTGACTAGTAAGTAAGGTTCTTCATTTAAAAAAAACCAACAATGAAACAAAACACAACAAACACATAAACATATGCATATCCAAATATGTGTTCATGAACGAATTTGGGGTGGCTTGAAAAGTGTTTTTGGAAAGTACCATAAGCAATTATCTGAAGCTACGTGCTTCAAAAATGTGATTGTTTAGACTTAATGTTCTAATTTGCACAGGGTGTATCATAGGCATCAAACTATGAGGTTATTATGGCTCTGGCCACCTTTAAATTAAAAACAGTAAAGCTAAATGCAGTTAGACTTTGTACTTACAAAAATGTGTTTAGTTTAAGAACCCACAGGCCTTAAATCAGACTTAAATATTCCTTTTCTGTAGCTCTTGTGTTGTTATACAGAACCTGCAGGGAAGCTGCAAAGGCAGCTTCAAAATATTACGAGATTTCTTGGGGGTATAGGACTCAAAATAACTAATATCTCCCTTCTTTAACGCTGATGGATCAACGATAATTCACTGGGGCTGCTTCACTACTTGGAATCCAGTTATTTTGATCTCAAGAATTTCTTAATCATGTAGCAGAATAAAGAATGTTTTTCTAATGGTTGAAAGTAATGTATTTTTGTTAACACCAGGCTGAGATCAAATAGTACTACAACCTGGAGACTGGTGGAAGAAGATTTATATGCTTTTGGTACCAGACTTCTTGAAGAATTTCAACAAATTAACTGTCTTCAGGTAGTGATGCAACTAGATGACAACTAAGTATATTCTTACAAAACACATGAAAAAGCTAAAATTGTACCGAAATTCAAAGATACAAGATACAAAGATGAAATAAGACGACCTTATCAGTCACCCAAATTTCCATTTTTCCTCCAGTATTCCAGTTTCTTTTCTGATGATGCAAAAATATTAAAAATAAGAATTACATAAAACTATAAATCTACTAATCTGTTAATACAGACTGTTCTAGATAGCAGTTACAAGATTTCCAAGAAAAAAAGCTAACGGAAATCTCCTAAGAATAACTATGTATAGGTACCCATAGTTACATTTAAACCTGGACAGAATAGTATTTCTCTAAATTATGGCTCTGGTTCATTCAGCGTTAAAAACTCTAATTTGAAAAAACCTGGGATTAAGAGCCTTCCATAAAGTAGCCTAGTGACAAAATTCCAGAAAGCACATTATTTTAGACAGGCACTAGTGGACACTTTTCAAGTTCTTTCCCAGTGTCTTCAGCCGAACACAGTAACTCTTAACATATCTTTAACGTATCTTTTATCAGGTTTAAGACAAGAAATAGATGATACAGGAAATATTCCAGAACTTTAAACACAAATTCACAGAAAGTAATTTTGGTCAGGTATCATGGACTGCATACAAGTAATTTGATAAATATAAATAAATAAGGATCTGGACTACTTTTTAGAGCCTGACTTTAAGGATTTTTGAGCTGAATCATAAAACCCTAGAATGTTTTCAGATGCAAGGGACATTTATAGATCATTCAGTTCAACTCCAGATTGCTCAGAGACCCATCAAACCTGACCTTGAGTGTTTCCAAGGGTGAAGCCTGTACCACCTATCCGGGCAACCTATGCCAATGTTTCAATATCCTCATTGTAAAAAAGAAAAATTCTTTCTTATAACTAGCCTAAAGAAGTGTTTCCTTAAAAATCTGACATGAATATGGTAGCAGACATCAAATTTAGATGTTTGGTTTCTGTCTGCTATACTTAAAGAACAGAGTTTATCTACAGAAAAATGAAGCACTGAAGTTCTTTGAAATTTGATTATTTTCAAAAAATGAAAAAAGATATTTTAAATATTTTCTGAATTCACTGGAGGCACAGATTGAGAAAGGCACAGATTGAGAAAGTATTTATGATAATAACTTCTTTAACCTATTTAAACTTTATAAAGGAAATTCTGAATAGGGGAGACTTATGGCTTTGTGAATAATTTAGTAGAAAACACTGCGATGTATTATTTATGTTGCACCACTGATGCACAAAAGAACGCTCTCACATAATAAGGGGGTTCCTCCCTTGAAAGGCAGTTAAAGAACTGATCACGTACTTGTCATCTAAGGAGAACTTTTACTGAAATCAAATGAGTAAGGAATGCAGTTTCATGCTCTATTAGATCCTTAATACAATTAAAATTAAGAGGCTGAAACTAAACAGTCAAAAGAGGGAAAATAAATGCAAACTTATATACTTTTGCATATATTCTCACAGAAGTGAAAGAAGAAAGATGAGAGATTAAACTAAGAGGCGTTATTGTGAAGCATATCCCACAAGCAAGTTCGTCTATGTTTGTTTCACTGCATAGCCATACCATATTCATTCAAAAATTTGTCAATCTACTCTACTATTTGTAGGCTCCAAATTATCAATGAGTATTAACAAACATGAAATTATCCACTATGAACCTATATCTAAAACTTTCTAAGAACAGATGAATCAAATTTAATGAGTTGAACATCAATTGAATCTCAATCAGCTGGAAATAAATCCTCTTAATTGGTAATGAGTAACTTATTTATTTGGAAAAACCTATTATCATAACAATCTCCTTGCCTACAATTATTCATGGCTATTTGATAAAGCATTTTATGGCTTAGTTTCACCAAATGGAAAAAAATGAATAAAGAACAGACTACTTAACAAGTAATTTTTGAAGCTATGTCATAATGCCTCCATCATGGAGATTTCCAGTTTTCACAATACCTTTGGCTTGTTGCTTCCTGCTCTTTCAGCCGTAGGATAGATTCTTCAGCTTCCTTGTCTTTCCTTTTTAGCTGGCTCACAAGTATGTCTCTAGCACGTTCTAGCTTCTCAATGCGATCCCTTTGGGACTCAATCACAGTCTCCCTGCAAGTACAAACATTTCAAAATCCAAAACTTGGGGAGTATTTTATAAAAGAAAAAAAAATTAAAGCATTCAGCAAAATTCGTATTTCTTGATGAAAATTCATCACAACAGAGGTTGAAGAGTTCAACTTACTATGAAAATAATTAGAGGTCACCACACAAAAGATGTGTATGGTACAATAAATAGATAAATAATTCAAGCATAGTATCAAACACAACACACTCTTGAAACAAATGTTTATGTGGACTGAATAATGTATTGCAGAATCTATCTGAAAACATCTTCTATGGTTTATTATACTCTACATTCAACATCTCCTCCTCCTAAACCATTAGTAACAAGTATTTTCTGAAGAGGAAATCATCATTACTAGCAATCAAAAGAATATGAGATCTTCAATGGATGCAGCAGAGAAAATAATTTTTATGTTTTTATTCTGAGTTGAATAAGTTTACATACACACAAAAATAATCTGATGGTGTTTTTCACAGTGGAATTTATCACTAAATTAAATTTTTAAAAGGCAGAAAATATAGAGATTCGAATCCAAATATTTTTAGTAGGCCACGATTTTGTGATTTTGATTTTCTTGACAAGTTAATCTCAGACATCTTTTCCAGTAGCATTTTTCTAATAAGAACAAGCAACAACTCATCTACAATTGCATCTTTCATCCATGTGTTTGCTCTTATACCTGAGAGCACCACTCTAAGTAACTGGTTATTTTTCTCACCTTTGTGAGAACTGAAATCCCTGACAAAAAAAAGCAATTTGAACGTTTTCTGTGTTATAAGACAAAGCTTTTGATCAGTCTGAAGGGAAAAGTTCTTGTCAACAACAAGATTCATGGTGGTGTGATGGATACAGGAGAAATAGCCCTTTCTAGATCCATCTGTATGAAATTACTAAAGGCTTTTTTTTCAGTAACACTATTATAATGCAAATTATTGTTTGTAAAAAAATTGGGACTGTTCAGCAAGGGTTAAATTCAGAGAAGAAGCTAGCAAGAGGGCAATACGAACAGCTAAAAAATTTAAATTTATTTATTAAAATTATTTACAACCTCACCAAATCATTGTATTTACAAAATCTGAAACACAAAATACATAATTGCACATCAATTCATGTGTTACTGTTTCAAGATCAAACAAAGTGAAAACTTACGAAAAGTGTATTTTTTCTTCCTGCAAGAAAGCCACTAATTTTAACAATTATAACAAAAAAAAAAATTAAAATCATACAAATTTTGTATTTCAGCCCTTGGATCCTCAAGCAGACTCTGTTCATTTATTGGGAGCACAACACTAGGTGATCTCGCTTCTAAATCTTGATATCTCATTCCTGAAAGCAAAGAGATATCTTTGTCACGCTGACTGAAAAAGCATTTAACAAAAGAACAATCTGTATGCACCACACACACAACTCCTACATAAATGCCTTAAAAAGTATTTCTACATCAAATTCACATGGACAAGGACTTAGAAGTGAAATAGGCACACTAGAACTTCGGGGAAAACTAGGAATGTTATTATCTGAACTGGATGTTCTGTGGAGAACTTTTCCTCTTTTTTTTTAATTCCTCATGACCTCTTCAGCTTAAAAAAATCTCTGCCTCAATCTAAACCTACATGCTCCCAATCCTAGTTCTGCACAAGACATGTTTGGTCTGGATCTGTTCTTATGCCAACAGAAGTCCTCACAGCAGGACATATCAACATTTGGTCTTTAATCCTCGAACCAAAATGCCCTTTTCTCTCAGTGAGCACTTAACCTGAATAAATCTATTCTATTTCTACCCTCATTTTGCATTGTTAAAACAAACAAATAGAAAATTAATTTGGGGAAATAAAACTGCCTAATCCATGATTTAAAGTGTAAAAATGCAGGTATATTTCAAATGTCAAAACTTGCGCTATATTCAAACTAAAGCCAATTAATTTTTAATGTCTGTCTGAAAACAAGAGAATTTTTTCTGTTTTCATATACCTGAATAATCAATGTAACCAAAAGAAAGACCAGTGGGAGGGTGAGATAGGATGGAGAAAAACCACAATATTACAGGCCATCAGCGTGATCCATAGCTTGCAGTTAAAGAGCCAATCCTGCTGACTCAGTTTCAAGTCAGGGCCATAGCTGTCTTTTTTTTCCTCTTTTTAAAAAACAACACATTATCCGTGTAGTGTATAAGTTAACTGAGTACAACTACTTCTACAAATGTTCACATGAAAACAGAAAGGTTTTAAAGTGTAATTTCCAAGTGCAGCGACCATAAACAAAAGACCGAGTGTGAGACTGTCCTAAGCAGTACATCTCAACAGTAAAAAGCATCTTTAAAGACGGCTGCATTGCGGTATTTGCTTTCCGAAGTCCACACATGTAAGAGATTTTTCAAGTCTGCAGTCTTCTGCACACATGTATCAAGAGACTAGAACAAACACTGAAATTAGAAAAGGAAAAACATGTGCAAACAAACTACAGATGTAAAACTTTGTTACAACATGATAACGCTAAACTTCTTCATATACTTCTTATATAAGCCTTTAACGTGTATTAAAGTTACACCAACAAAGCCCAATGATTTTCACAATTAGAAAATTTGCTTGATATCTGCTTTATTTTCAAATCTGTACTTTTGTTTTCCCCCTACCACTGCAGGTTCTGAAAATAAGGACTTCAAAGGCAAACAAATTATCTTGACTGCTAAAAATACAGGAGAACAGGGGAAGAACAGTCTTTCTGCCTACAGGTGCCATTGCCCACTGCTGAACAGAAGGGAGTATATACTTGCTGCAGTGAAGCAATAATTAGTGGTACTCACATAAACCCTTGTTTTTAATAAATGTGAATTATACCTTTCTTTGCGTGTTCGGGCGTGCCAGCAGCCTCGCTCACTTTTCTGAGACCAGAGTCAATACGAGACTGAACATAGCTGTAGGGACGAGGCCTGCGGCCTTGAATCTGGAGCTGCTGTTTAGCTGAAATGAGTTTGCTGTGGAGGCTCTCGTTCTGTTTCTCCAGCTCACGAACTCGCTCTTGCAAACGCTCAATCATTTCTTCCAGCTCCACAGCCTGACCCAGCCGCCTGGGGCCGCCACCAACCTGTTCAGACTTTTTTTTATCATTAGCAAGCCGTATTAGCTTGGTGGCCAATCTGAGGGAAAATAATAAAAAAACATGAAAAAGAATGTGAAAAGTCAGCAGAAAAAGCATTCTGTTGAAAGGAACATAATCACTGTGAAGACTTCAGCATAGAACCTGAATAATAAATTTCAGGTTTTGATATAACTATTACTGCCTGTGAAGAACTCTTTGAAGATAATTGAAACCACTGTGCAGCAATCTGCTTTACAGCACTGACAAATAACAGTTTCCTAAGGCTTATCATTTAAGGTTAGTAAAGGGAGGACACATATTTACTCCATATGCGGCTTAAATGTAATTTTTAATGCATGACCTTATATAGGAACCTCCGTATGCCGTTAAATAAAGTTACAGATTTGGGATGTGGTGGTGCAAACCATAAAAGCTACAGTTCCACAAAACACTCAGCTATTCAAAGAATGCTAATAATATGCAATGCTCCCAGTGATATATCATTTCTAGTACTTTGGGATTTAAACATATATATTTCAATTCTAAAGTGGCTAAAATACATAGGTGGAGATATTTAAGAGGGTACTCTGGAAAACAAGACTTAATTCCCATTACCATACTCAACTTCGTATTTGTTAAATATTACCAGCGTGCTTCAGAGAAGGAACAGTTAGCTGAAGAATATAATTAGATACAGAGGCTATGGTTTTCATCTGTCTTTAAAAGGACACAAACTTTGCTTTTGGCATCTCAAGAGTTGTACCTTTGATTTCCCTTAGTTTTGATAAACATTGGTAAGCTAGAACAAAAGGCTGAGAGGGCACATGGGGGTGATGTAACATACAAGAACACAAAACATACCCAGCAGTGAACAGAAAAAAAACTTGGCACATAAAGAAAGAAAAGGTGGCTTTGATGAGAGAGACAAGCTCAAGACTTTAAAAAATTGGTCGCACATCTTCAAGACCTGTATCCAGTTTACCGGGAATCTATTTTTGCAAGCCCAGAAATCAAACTGAAAATAAGGACACACTTCATTTGTTTAAAGGGGCTTGTTTTACTTTGTATACTTGTGGACAGAAGCTTTGATTTAAAAGAACAAAAGTGAAACAAAGAAAATCCATAATAACTTTAGGATGCCATAGAATGTTACTTGCCTGTAAGCAATTGGTTTTTTTTATTATTTGTTTGTTGTTTTTTTTCAATGTACTTCTACTGCAAATTCATTCCAAACTTTTAGTTACAAGGGTTTTGGCATGAGGGATGCTGGGAAAGAAATTTAGCAGGAGGAGTTAAGACTTCTCTGACAATTTAGATGCTGTATTTTATGTTTTCTTTGCCTTAACATATTAATGCAGGTATTCCAATTTGGACATTCTGTGCAATTTTACCTAAGCGAAGGATGAGTGCACTTGATAAATCGTTTAACAGAAACACAGGAAATGCCATTTGGAATAAGGAAACAATTTATTTTTTTTCCGCCATGGTGTAATCTGACAGCAGCCTGACAGGAAAGATCAAAGTTATGTCATGCTGGTCAATTCAATCGTGACTCACTGAATACTGAGTTAAAAAGGCAAAAATGTTTTGAACTCCAGAAACGTATGAAATAGTTCCATCTACAGAGGCAGTACCATCAGCAGGCCTTTCATGGATTGGTTAGATTCTGTCCAGAAGCTTAGAAGCAGCAAGATTTTATCAGCTTAAGTGCAACACAAGGAGAACAGTTCTGCTGAGTCTAGATGGCTTTGCCAGCACAGCACCGAGTTTAATAATGAGCCTAAAGTTGTTTGCGTATGTCTGGGTACACTGGGTACTATGGTCCCCACGCTACTGGGGAGTTCTTCAAGTGTCTTTTACTCTGAATAAAAGCTCTCTTTTACCCTGAATAAAAGTTTTTCATAATTCTAAAGATACTATAACTACGCGATAAAAGGCGAGATGCTAGTCAAATTTTTGAAGTACAGAGAAGGACAAGAGGGGCAGACTCTCTGTATAGGCCATTTTGACTCTAAGATGAAATTCCTGATGAATAATCAAGCTCCTATAGCCTCCTCTTCGGTTCCCAGAACACCTGTTACATTTGTACTCCGAGAGCAGAGCTATGAACCTGAAGTACCAACTCTGAAGTGGTGGCTAGTGGTGTACCTACCACTCTACATGGAGACCTAATACTGTCCACCACAAAAATATCCCACATACCATGGAGACAATCAGAAATCTATAAAAAAACCCCCTAATTCCAATGAGTGATTTTTACTACTGCTTTAAGCAAATGTTATTGTGAGCTAAAATAAAAACATTAAACCAAATACCTTTTAATTTTCTCCTCTTGCTTATTTGCATGCTGTTTAAGTAAGATGTTCTCAGACTGTAAACGAAGAAATTTGTCTTCCAGTTCTTTTCGAGAGATTCGTAACACAGCTTGTCGAGCTCTTACATTCCATGTAGTTGATGATTCTGTCCAAAATAAGACAACTATATATTACCTTCAACACATTCAACAACACGTAATCTAAAGTCTAACTCACTTTGAAATGCTGAAAAAAGAATACAAAAGTTTTCAAGCAATTGGCTATTTTATACTTGTACAAGTCTGCTGATTAATTTTTTTATTGGCATATTAATAATTTCCTTTTTCTTCCCTCTTACAGATGTAAGACGTCATTCAAAGGATACAAACTGACTACCTAGTAGACAACACAAAGGAAATAGTTTAACAAGTAGTAAGGTACTGTCAAACGTATTGCTTCAAAAAATAAGATGATCATTACCACAGACACGTTTTCTAATCTCTTTCGAAGTTAACATACTCTCTTGAAGCTTGAAAAGATTAACTCGTAATTCTGTACATTTGCTCAGATACCAGACTAAGCCCAGTAGTGCTGTTCTAACAGCTGCTGAGTGACATCTCAGAATTGCATAGTACTTCTGGCTCCCATTTTGTTAAATGGGTCCAGCCTTTTCCTCAATTCAGAAAAAAAAAATCTCTTTACTTCTGGAAGGATGAATATTGCAGCTCAGTGAGATTTCCACTTTTTAGCATCTCACAGCAACTCTCCTCTTATAAAAAGCAACACAAAGACAAAACGAGTCATAGCATCTTTCAGAATTTACCCCAGATTTTGAATAATACTTGAACTTAATTTTGTGAGTGGGAATGTCAGAAGCATTTTTAGGAAGAAACGAAAGAAGCTGCTTATCAAAGTCTGTAACTATAATAAATAGTTGCTGGTACAAACCTTGTAATCCTTCAATTCCAGGTGGAGTTAAACCTACATCTCTCACAGGCAGCTCCCCCACAGTTTCATCAGCTGTAACAGACATGGCTTATCTATGGATAACAAAATACAAATCAAATTCTTCTCCATCTGTAACTTAAACTGTGAAACTAGAATGAACTACAACGTATGACATAAAGGAAAAGCAATGACAGACTGACTGAAAGGACACACTCGTACGTTACTGTAAATGCTCCTATCCCTATTGTATCACTCAGAGGGCAACCTAAACTTTCAGCGTAACGTTATGACAGTTTTAAATCGTGCACAAAACATGGCTTTGTTAGGCAATAGCTCCAACTGTATTTATTGTATGGAGAATTAGCTTTTTTAAGTTCTAGTTCCATTGTCTTGAGTAGTCTTCAGGCTAAGGCCATATTTCTAAATGCATGTGGGTGAGAGAGCTGTGGGGAGCTTTGTTCGGGTTTTCTTTTTTTAAAATTGTTTGTTCTTTTGAAGACAGGTCAAAGCTTAAGGCATCAACTGGTAGATAAGTAATGCCATGTTCCACATTTTGAATGGGAATCTTTGAAACAGAGGTGCTAGAGGTTACAAAATCATTTCAGTGTCGCCTGCCATTCTTGTAGTCTTCTTTCAATCACTGTCATGAGAGAAATTACTTTCTTAGAGACTCTCCTATGAACGATTGTCATAAATTCAAACACATTTCTTTCTCGAGGCAACAGAAAGCTTAGCTACATGACAAAGCGAGATTAGGGAAGTATTAATGTGAGAAAGTACTACATTTGTTTCAGTATAATAGATGAAGACACTTGTTAACAACTACTCTTTCTTCTCTTCCAGTGCAGAAAATCAGATGTTGGCCAGAGCCAAATAAGGTTGAAATAGCATGAAGAGAGAGATTTAAAGTCCATTAGAGTCTTTTTTTCCCCTATTGCTACACTTCTCAGGTGACATAAATCCTTAGTACATCTCAAAACATCTAGAAAACCATTGGGAAATTAACAGTGACGTTACTGAAAACCTGCATCAGAGGACAGAAGTGACACAATATAATCCATAGATATCCTGTGAAGTAGCTGTTAAATCTGTCACAACCAAAACTGCCGCTAAGGACATGCCTTTCTTCTACCAGTAAAGTCTTCCATCATAAACAAGTCTCCTTATGACTCTGCCCAAAAGGAATGAAAAGGCTTAATGGGAATTTTGTTTCCAACAAGTCAATATTGCTTACAATCTTCTGGTTTTTCATCATTAAAATTTAGGATAAAATATTCTTTCCAGCTTTCACTATTTAGAACAACATGAATACATTTTTCTTTCACGTGAAATAAATGTTTCCTTGTCTTGACCACTGAAATGCCTGAAGTGATCTACACCTGTAGATTAGCAATAAGGTTGCACTTTCGATGCTGTCAGTCACAGAAACTGAAAATAATGTTTCGTGATGCTGAGGTTCACAGCATGCGGCCATGGCACCCAGTGGCACAGTTCTAACAACAGAACCCTGTTCAACTGGGATCCAGCTCTTCACAGTGTTTTCAGCTCTTTTTCTGTTACGCAAATCCCTCAAAACTTTTTGGTAATTCTTTGTTTCATTAGTGCTATCTGCAGTCATTGACTTCATTCAGGTCTTCATTCAGATATTGTGGTCACTATACCTCACCATATCAACACTTCAGGCATAAGATTAAAGTGAAACAGAAACTTTCACCTCTGGATGATCAATTTAATTTGATTCATGATGGCAGCAAGAAGAACACACGCTTGTTCGTTCCTCAGATGAACAAACAAAAAACTCATTGTCAGTAGTAAGCCATTACTGCCACTGCTGCAGCAAAACCATAGAAATATTTAAGTTGTAAGCAAACATAGCAAGGCTGTACATAAAAGCCACTTATTACTGGCAACATGACATGGTTTGAAGACAAGTGACAAAACAAATCTGCTACAAATCTCCAGTCCCAAAAACTTAGAAGGGTGAAATCGTCTAATGCAAAAGGAAGAATTAGTTGTTTCATTTTCATTACAAAGTGACAGAAATTAAGTATTCAGCTTTTTTTCCTGTCCTGGCCTACAGGAAAAGAAAAAAACCAAATTAACCTTATTTGTGAAAAAGAATGTTTTTAGATAGAAACAGTGCAAAGCTGCCTCCTGATTTTAGGGAGGCAAAAATACAATTACAGATTTAGAAGTTGGCCTGGCAACTTATTTGCCTCGTTAGCAACATAAGAAACACCTAAGTCTTTAACAATCACTAACAACCAACATTTCTGCTTCTTCTCTGACAGAGACCAATGAATCATGTTTTACATATGTCACAGCTACTTTCTGAATATCACCTCAGTGTCATTCACAAACACTGAAATAAAATTATTTTCCTTACAGTCAACAGTTCCAGCACCATTTCTAAAAGCGTATGACTTTTCCCCATAGACTTCCATATCACTTCTTTCCAAAGTGATTAAATCTGACAAAATTGTACAGCAACACTGCTACAAAAGTGTTTGTACTTAAAGAGTCCAGCATTACTAAAGTAAAGCATAATAAGAGAGGTATGCATTTTTATTTGCATCTGGAAAGATTCACATGCCATGCTGAACCTCAACAACTTAAAACAGTTCATATTTCCAAGAAAGGTCAGTTCAGCACTTCTTGTTCCTAAACAATAAGAAAGAAGAACTTCACATACAAAAGGAGGAAAATTTTCCATACATCTAAGATTAACCTTTAAGAATTTCAAGTTTAGTATAAGCAACTATATCTAAAATTCTTGCGGAAGTTAAAGAAACTGTAACTTAGACGTTGTACCACTTGCAAAACTGGTGCTATTGCCCACTGTGTCTGACAGATTGCTACAAAAACTGGACACAAACTGGCAGTGTTATGCAAGACCAGTTGACTAGCATGGAGCATGAATACTTAAAGTATCAAGACTTATACTTTGGGTCTCAATTTTCATACAATTTACAGAAGTGTACTGTTCTCTTAATATCATTTAAACGTAGCAATACCGAGGAGGCATTACTTAAATTTTGTCAGGAGTGGTCAGTTTCCAAGAAAAGATAATTTCTAGTGACATCCTAAAAAAAAATAAAACATTTATTTGCTTCAACATGGATTTAGAATTTCATGAGCAATGATCATGGTCAAGATAATACTTTTCTTATAAAATCCTGCTCCACTTTGCTGGTAAAGGTAAGAAATTTGTTTGTTTAAAAAAATTTTTTTTTTTTAAAAAAGAAAGAGACCACCCATCTATCTTAGCCTGTCACAAAATATTCCCAGCCTACATTCTTAATTCCTTAAACGATTGCACTCTACTGGGCTTGTAATCTAAAATAACGTCATTTATTACTTCGAAGAAGTATACATGCATATCACATCATCTTTCAAACATCGTTTGTTGCAGTGTAGCGAGTTTTAGGAGGTGGAAAGGAAAAAAAAAGTGAGAGAAGATACGGAAGGTGTCAGGAAATCAGGTCACAGCAGCTGCTGGAGTCTTAGGGAAGGAACATCGCAGACACGTAAAATCCTCCTGCCGCGCAGAGAACCCAGAGCAGCCGTGTCTTGCCTTCAACGTCTTTTACAAACGCTT